AGGAAGGAAGTACACAGAAGATGGTCCAGGAAAAAGGAAATGAAATCATGACTCTCGTGCAGCTACCACTGGCCATAAGTGAATCTTTGTTTCAAAAGCTGTTATTTCAGCAGCGTGGATTACTTGGTTAAAGGGAATGAGGTCAGAACAGAGGGAAACAAAAAAATATTCTAGGCATAGATTTAGCATTCGGTTCTTCAACAGAACTTCCTGTTATCATTAGTGAGGATGAGTTAAGTATACATACCTACTATAATACATCATGTGAGCTGCTTGCACTTTGACAGTGTTTTGTACACTTAGGTGAATTTTTAATCTCAAACAAGAACAAAAAAAAACCCTGACTGCTATTTTCATTTGGATTGATATGATTTTAGCCAGATTTCATGGCAAAACTAATGTCAAACTTCCTAAATTCCTAAAAGGATGTATTAACATAAGAAAAATAATACACTGAGTAATGAAAAAGACCAGTTATATGTGATGAAAATTAAAGTCTTTCAGGAACAGAATTGATAAATCATCTTGCTAGCATGAATTAAAAGTAGTCATTAAGTATTATAAATACTTTCCTTAACAGAAGGCCATTATTTTAATGGCCTATACAGTGACCATTCATTTTATAAATTTTATTTTATGTATTTTTTTAAAAGATTTTTTTATTTATCTATGCATACAAGAACTGGAGTCTAGGCCAGAGGTTGCGGGGGGGGGGGGGGGGGGTTGGGGGAGTATGGAGGAGTGAGTGGATTCACCAGAGACAGAGTGGGACGCAAACAAGCAGATCTACTGAAATAGAGTGCTGAGGAGAGCAGCAGGGGAGACAGGAGAGGTCTGCTGTGACCCATGTGGGTCACCTCTCTGGCCGGGGATCAAACTCAGGCCGCAGTGGCTGGTGGTAGCTTAATAGTGCTGAGACTGAATCTCTGCACCACCAGGGAAGCCCTGTATCTTATAAATTTTAAAAGAGGTGAATTTGTGATGTATTCTAGTTAATTTATACCAACAGAACAGACACAAAAAAATGCATATTTTGCAAAATTAGACCAGATCCCTGGTCTTTTCTGAGTTCAAGTTAGTATTAAATCAACTCCAGTGTAACTACCTTCAATATTTATAGAGGTTGATTTTTCACAAATACTTAACACATTAGAAAAATAATCAAAGAAATAATTTTCCCTTTTTATTTGCATGCTAAAATAAGTATTTTATGATTTTTCCTCTTTTATACTTTAAAGAAAACATAAAATGGAAATAACCACATGCTTAATTCTATTTTTATCAAACAGATATTTTTAAAACACTTGTCAAAAGATAGTATATTTAAAAAGTTCATTTCTGATTACTCCTGTCATTTTCACTGTGGAATGGTTTCTACATATTATTTTGCAAAATAACTTATATTAGGGATAATATGTGAAATATAAGTGAAAAATTAATACAACATTTGAACATAACTAATTTGGATTTTTAAATGTTTTTATTCAAAAAGTTTTGTTGATAAAATATTTCTGCAAGAATATTGGAGAAATTGCTTACTTATATGTGAAGTAAGCTTAGGAATAGGAAGGAGACTACATAATCTTGTCCTAAAAATCATGTTCGGGGGCCTCCCCTGGTGGCGCAGCGGTTGAGCGCTGGGCTGCGAAGCTGCCCGCAGCCTCTGCAGCACCGGTTCAATCCCTGGCCACCGGTGAGGGTTCCACATGGCGCGACAGACCTCTCCTGCTGCGCCCACTGCTCCCCTCAGCAGTGTATTTCTTCGCCAGTCTGCCTGTTCTGTTCCCCTCTCTGCTGAATCCTCTCACCCTCCCACTATTCTGACTGTACCCAGTGCTTGTATAAATAAATAAATAAATAAATCTTTTTTTAAAAAAAAGTTCCCAAATACAAATAAAAACCACAATGAGATATCATCTCACACCGATGAGAATGATCCATATCAAAAAGGACAAAAACAACAAAGTTGGTGAGGGTGTAGAGAATAAGAAACCCTCTTACACTGTTGGTGGGCATGTGGACTGGCCAGTCACTATTAAAAAAAATATGATTTCTCAAACTATTAAAAATAAATCTACCATATGATCCAGGCATTCAGTCCCTAGGTATGTACCTGAAGAATGCAAAAATACTAATTCAAAGGGATATATGCACTGCTGTATTTATTGCAGCGATATTTACAATAGCCAAGTTATGAAAACAACCTAAGTGGTCCAAGAATAGATACATGGAGTAGAAGGACGTGGTATACATATACACGATAGAATACTACTCAGCTATAAAAAAGACGAACTCTTGCCATTTTTGACAACATAGATGGAACTGGAAGGGATTATGCTAAGCAAAATAAGTCAGAAGGAGAAACACAAATACTGGATGCCTTCACTTATATGCAGAATAAAGAAAAAGAAAACAAAGGGTCAGGGGCCTCCCTGGTGGTGCAAGGGGTTAAAAAACAGCACTATGAAGCTATCCGCAGCTACTGCAGCAAGAGTTTGATCCCCAGCCAGGGAGGTGACCCCACATGGCGCAGCAGACCTCTCCTGACTCCCCATTGCTCCTCTCAGCAGTGTATTTCAGTCGATCTGCCTGTTCTGCTCCCCACTTTGTCTCTGGTGAGTCCTCTGACCTCCCACACCTCTGGCCTGTACCCTAGTTCTTGTGTGCATAAATAAATAAATCTTAAAAAAAGAAAAAGAAAACAAAGGTTCAAACAAAATCAAGCCAGTATAAATCTTAGAAATCTGACTACAGAATTGAGGCTACCAGAGAAGGAAGGAAAGGGGAGAGAGCAAATTGGGGTGGGGGTGGGGGGGGGCACAGTGGATTATGGTGGAGGACTGCAGGTGCTTTGGTGTGTTATGACACGCATCTGAGGAGATGTGACCCTGTGCCTCTGAATCACAGTGTTGTAAATCAGTATTACCTCAGTAAAAATGTTCCCCACATTTTACCGTTAAAATCAAACAACAAAACATTTTTAAGAATGTTGCGATCATGTCATTTCAACATTTCCTAAATCATTATAGTGTAATCAGTTTACATTATATGATATTAGCATGTGAATTATTTGATAAGGATAAAAATAAGAATAGATTAAGATGTATTTCATCTCTAATTGAAGTCAATTAAGACTGGGGAAGAAGTAAAAGACTAGTATGGATTTATAAATATCACTGTAAATAACTAGATGATTTCAGAGGGGAGAAGTTTCCAGAACAAAATTGTTCTATTTTTATGATTTGGAACAAACACACACTAATTTGCTTAACCGATTTATTTAATTCGAGTGCATATTATTTAATTTAGGCTACATTAACTATTTTCACTAAATTATTTAATCTATTTTTCACCTCACTTTTAAATTTATGCAATGGGAAGTCACAAAAGTAATTGGTTTCTGGAGACAGATGTGTTTTTGTCTTGGCTGACTGCTTACTAACAGAAAAACTTCAACCACTGATTTAACTTACTTGAGCCTGGGAGACCTGTGTGGTATTTCAATTCCTGAAAAAGAAGTCTCTTATTAAATATTTTACTTTGTGTAAGTTATTTATCAAATCTATTTACATAAAAACAATTAGGAAGGAAGCATACCTTAGCTAATCCACCCCTCCCCTGCCTATCACATATTTTACCAACCAGAAAATCAAAATGCAGAAAAAATATAAGTGACTTTTCCAATGATAGCCAGTGGCAGAGCTAGGACAAGAATCCACAAGTACCCATCAAGTAACTCATTGTCCCTTTCATTCTGATGTATTGATTGAGGATATGTTGGAGGAGGCTGGCAAGAAACTATGAATAAACAAACAAAAGAAGTGGCTGTGGGTGGTTAAGGCCAAGTAACCTGAGATCATCAGTTAAACTCTTGAATTTGATTTCATAGGCAGGAGGTAAGCTCTGGTGAGAAAATATTATCTGGCTGTTTGGGAAAGTTTCTTGCATTAATACTTTTTCTTCTAGTCTTCCACGCATCATTAGCAAGGTTTTAGTTTATAATTAAAGGGAAAGTGTACAGTGCACATAAAAATGTTTCATACCAGACAGTTTCCTGGCTTTACCCAGTGGCAGCTAGATGAATATTGCTTTGCAGACAGTAAAGAAACCAGTACTAAGTGAAGCCACTTCCTACATCCTGGAAGGTGCTTGAGCCAGGAATTCAAAACCATTGGTGTCAAGTGCTGCCCAGACCTTGGCAGATGGGGTAGTGGAGAAATTCTGCTAAGAACTTGAAGATTCTTGCTTTTTTCTCCTCTGGTTAGTTTCTTATCGTCCAATCATTACAAAATATCCCCCTGAAAAATGACTAAAGATTCCATTCAGGATTGAGAAAATTATTGTCAGAAAATGGCCGTGCAAGTTGTCAACGATATTCACATACCAATCCCCTCTGTATCCCAAAACGTGTAAGTCGGTTTCAGACCTTAAACTCACTGATGGATGCACCCCAGCAGATGCGGTGGGTAGATGAGATCCCAAGTCAGTTTCATTTTCTTGGAATTTTTCTTAACTGTCCACATCTCCCACAACGAACGTGCATATCTTACTGGGGGAAAGTTACGAACTGTATATTTTTAAAACTATTGGAGACTATTTCCTGCCTGGTAGTGTCCTCCTTTTCTTACTTTACAAACAAAACCCGGATGTGACTAGGAATGGGGGGGGGGAAAAAAGGAACAAAAAGTAAAACTTTGTTCTCCAGGAAAGTGGGCTAGCGCAGCCCCAACCCTTGGGCCCCAGCCCAGGCCGGGCCCGGCGGGCGTGGCAGGGTCAGAGCCAGGAGCGCGGGGCCAGCATCCCCGCGGGGAGCTCGGGCAGCACGGCTCCTCGGGGGCCCGGGGCCACCCCTAAAACTTAACCCTAACCGCGGCCTTTCTGGGCAGGCCTCCCGCGGCAGTGGGGACCTGAGAAAGCGCCCCCAGGGCTCTAAGCTCCCGGGCCGCCGCGCAGCGCTGGGGTGAGGGCACGTCCGGCGGCGGCTGAGCTCTCGGGGCGCCGGCTCCGCGCGCGGGGAGGGTCACGTCCAGCGCCGGCGGGCGGGGTGCGGGCACCGCAGTTATTTCGGGACACGCAGCGGTTTGCAGCACGTCCAGCCACTCTCTTCCAGCGCTGTGTGCTCCTGGGCGCAGTTCAGGAGCAAAAATGCCTGCTCTTCACATCGAAGATTTGCCCGAGAAGGAAAAACTGAAGCTGGAAGTCGAGCAACTTCGCAAAGAAGTGAAGTTGCAGAGGCAGCAGGTAAGTTGGCTGCCCCAGACTCTGTCCTTCTCTGAAATGAACCGGGATCAGCTTCTCCTGGTCTCTTGAGGTCAAACAAGTAGGGCTTTTTCTTTGGGTTTTTGGTTGGTTGGTGGGTTTTGGATTTTTTAGGGTCTGCTCTTGAAGTGGGGTTTTGGCGGTGCCTGCAAACTGCTGGTTGAAGTGGGTAAATCGTAGGCGGCCACGGGAGAGCGAGGCACTTCAAAGGCAAGTGTCAGAACAGCTGAGGAGCCTAAAATGGGGGAGACAAGAAAATTCTGCCGCGTCGGTTTTTTAAAACAGCCTGAAGGGAAAAGGCAGATGCCTGTTTAGTTCCTTTATCTTTTTCACCATGGGAAACGATGGTACTGGAAAGAATTTTTTAAGATCACAGTTTAAAGTCTTGAGTTACCAAGTTTTGAATTTCACCAGGGATCTCCTGAGGTGTCCAGTGAGTGAACAGTCTGGTGGGACTCCGAAGTGAAACATTACAGTTTTTAAACATTTATTTGTAAATCCTATTCCTTTGGGATTTATTAGTATGTACAGTGAAGTAATAAGTCGTTATCTATGTTTATTTATAAATAAATAATTATACTGCATAGGAAATTCTTTGTAGTGATCACGATTAAATATTTTAAAAACTGCTGATGTGGATTATAAACTCAGTGAGAACATATGCCCAGTGTTCAGAAGTCTCCACGGAAATTTGTTGGAGCTGTTATCATCCTGACTTCAGTTTCCTGCTGATAATAGGGGTCTTTGTTAAGATACTCATCTTCCTTTTTCATCAATCAGGCAACCTGTTAACCAGGATTAGGCTTTTTGGATAAATTTTTCTAAGAGGAATAATCTAGTCCTTCCTCCACAGCAAGAAAATTTTAAACTGATTTTATTTCTGTGGGGCTTAATACTAGAAAAAAAATTAAGACAGTGGAATTGAAGGAGGTAAGGTATGGTAATTACGCTCGCTTACCTTCCTGTTCTGGTTATGGTACATCTGTTCATGGCAAGAGTTTTGTTACTCTTGAGTGATTAGTGGAAGGCAGTTTTACTCTTTACACATTTCTTTTCTCAAATTTAACCTTTTACTTTCAAATCCCAGCTCTACCTAAATTTCTATCCAGGGGGAAGAGTTTTGTAGCTATAAAAATGCTACTATGTTTAAAGTAAAAAAGGAAAGTTACAGGATCCAATGAGTAAACTTACTTCTTAAAAATTTCAAGGAACTCATTTTGTGGATGACAAAGCCCAAAATATAGTCTGTGCTGATCGCCTAGATTTTTTCACACAATGCACCTTAGAGATAACATATGAAACAAACTAAATTGGTTTCTATACTAAGTTGGAATATCTTAATATCTGGTCCACTGTAGAACTTACATGGGAGAAAAGACAAGTGTTTTCCAGTCAATATTGGGCAAGTATTGGGGTAAGGGCCTGAATGCAGCTCAATATTAATGTCCATTAAAGGCTTCATTTGTTACCAATTTCTCCCTTCCTGTTCCCTCCCTTATTCCTTAGGACTCACCGTGCTGCATAGACTTTTCAACTCCAGAGATTCCCAGTGAGGAAAACTCCAGGGATAGTCTTTGATTCAAGCATATTTTATTATGCACTTTCCAACGTTACTCTTAGGGAACATTCAATCCTCTTACTTTTAAGGATTAAAAAAAAAAATCCTGAAACCCAAGAAGGTTAACTAGATCCTCATTTAAAACCATAGAGATATTGATAGGGCGGGTACAAAAACTCTTGTCTCCTGATGCTTGATCTGTTATTGTTTCAATAAAATCGTTCCTTTCTGAGCTTTGTGCTCTGCCCAGGCCTGAGAGGCAAACACAGGCCGAATTCAGGCTCCAGCTAATTTTTGTTCAAACATATCCTCTTGATCCTGGAAGGAAATGCACCAGGAGGAATTAGCCACTTTTAGCGTTTAGCAGATCTTTTTGGAAACCTAATGAAGAGGTTTCTGTAAACAGATGCAACTTGGGAAAACATGAATTTATCCACAAATTTCTCTGGAGCCACAGACCCCAAGTTATGTATATCTGCATCATCGCATCTGAGAATTTACTTAAAATGTACACAAACACGGTGAATGTCAGCAGCAATTGTGAGCAAATGTTACCGGAGACTGGGGCCCAAAAAGCCTTTATTTTGCCACAGTTTAAATACTGCTGCAGCTAGTTTTAAGTTTTCGATCAGTGGCCTTTCACACTAGTGTGCAAAGAATCTCAGGGGTATGAAAGTAAAATATTAAATGTTGTAGTTTTGATTAGTTTTAAATCCCACCTTTTTTGTAGTTTTCAGTGTAGGTTTTATTTTTTTAAGATTTTTTAAGATTTATTTTATTTATTTATACATACAAGACCTGAGATGTAACAGAGTTGCAGGGGGGAGTGGGGAGAATGAGAGGATTTACCAGAGAGAGAGTGGGGAGCAGAACACAGGAATTTACTGAAATACACTGCTGAGAGGAGCAGTGGCAGAGATAGGAGATGTCTGCTGTGCCATGTGGGTAGCTCCCTGGCCGGGGATTGAACTCATGCTGCAGTGGCTGGGGACAGCTTCATAGTACTGAGACTTAACCCCTTGCACCACCAGGGAGGCCCCAGTTTAGGTTTTGTAATTATGCCTAGTGCAGTAACGCAGTAACATCTTGAGTTATGTCTAATAATTATGTACATTTTGGGATATATATGCAAACATTTTTTAGTGATTCTCATTAATTCAATTTGAAGATTCCTAATCTAGATTACAATTCATAAGAGTATTTGCCTAATTTTAAGAAGTGTCCATTGAAATAATCTACTGCTGCCATAATTTTTACCTCCAATTTCTTACTAGTGATACAAGCCTTCATTAAAACACTAGCTCTTTTTTCCACTTTTTTTTTTTAACTCAAACTTGCAATGTCTCCTAAGAATAGACTTTTGAAGAAACTATTCAGTCCTTTCTCCATTGTAGAAAAGTTCTAAATGATTACACAAACATAATAGTCTCAGATAGTCCTAATAAACCTCAGATAAGGGGGTTTTTCTTTGTTTTTTTGTTTAATGTCCATCCCACCCGCCCTGCCCACCCCCCCAACAATGGGGAAGGAATTCTGAGCTGAACAAGGTGGATCATTTGGGTAACTTAAAAGTTCCCAGAGTCAGACTTTTGGCAATTCTTCCATCATTCTGCGAAATGTGTAGAATATGGTCCACACCCATAATTAGTGTACATTTTGGCAAGACACACTCCAAAACATTGGGGGATTATTTACTGCTGCACCTGTTCTTTAGCATGGAAAATTGAAAGTGGGTATGTTTTACTTCGTAAAATACCCTGACACGTCATAATTGTACTTTAGCAGAGGAAGTAAATCATATGAGGAACAATGGTTAGAAATTTCTGGGGATGATCTATTTAAATATATGGTGACTTTCAAACATTTTTGATCCTGGCCATAGTAAATATATATTACAGTGATTGTTAATATATGCTCCATATAGTTAATATATACTCTGTGCTGTACTCTGATATTTTATTCCATTTCATTGTTTAAAATACTGGTTGTACTAGATTTTATTAATTTCACTGGAGGATAATGACAAAGTTTGAACAATTCTAATTTTTTTTTCCTTCAGGTGTCTAAATGTTCTGAAGAAATAAAGAACTACATCGAAGAACGTTCTGGAGAGGATCCTCTGGTGAAAGGAATTCCAGAGGACAAGAATCCCTTTAAAGAAAAAGGCAGCTGCATTATTTCATAAATAACTCTGGGGAGAAATGTCATCCTCAGTGGAAGAACAAGTTTGTTTTAGTTTGTCCAAACAAAACCAATCCGCCTTTTGAAGAAAGAAACATTTAAAAGAGATTTTCTTAAGCACTTAATATAGATAGTGTTCAATGTAAAAGCAATGTGCTTCTCATCTTTGCTCACAACACACCCTTTTTAAGACACCAGAGAATATCAAATGTATAATTATGGAAATAAGTCCATTACTTGTGCATGACTCGTCTCTTTATGTTGCTTGATGCCTCAAATAAAGTTTTCTCTCTGAAAAATGAGTGCTGGCAATTTAATAAGGATTTTTTTAATTACACGAACTTTTATATTTCTCCCCTAACCTTTTTAGTGTTTGGAACATATATCAAAGGATCAGTTGGTTTGATAGATCAGGTCTCCAATCCAACTGTCTCAGGAGGCTTACAGTGCTGAGTTCTGAACTTGTAGAATGTGTTTGAACTAATGTAAAATACTAGGGAACTGAGTGAGTTAAATTCCTCACTACAGATATCCCCTGCTTTTCAAGAATTCATGTTATGCTGCTTTGCTTTTATGAAAGACTTACATTAGTGCCTGCTTTCACTAATCAAAAGAAATTTGAAGAGCACGTTCACTTTTATGACAAAGACGAAAAGCAAAAAGTAATGTCAAATTGTGCCTCTATAGAGGCAGTGTGCCCCAGGAGTGTGAATGACACTGCAAAGCTTCTTGCCCAGGAATGACTTTATATTAGTTTTGTGTTTATTGGGTCATTCCTGCTTTTAATATAGGTATTATTTTAGGTTTTTTATGTTATTCAGTGGATTATTTTTTGAGTCCAGAAACATTTAAATATTTTTCCATATAAATGGTAATTGTTTCTTTACTTTTGGCCATTTTGTCTTGGGAAAGGCTTCATTTCAATACCCTTCCTTTGAAGGGTGGGTTGTGAGGAGGAGATACATGTTAGGGAAATGAATGAACTGAATTCCTCATGTTAACGGGAGTCACATTGTATCATGAGCAGGTCTGTTACAGGGCAGGGAGGGGGCACCCCAGAACCCTCAGACCTGCCTGCTCTAAATAGGTTCTGCCATCCGCTGCATCAAGACAAAACATATAAGACCTTTAATGGAAAGGAACTTTTTTTTTTCTTGTTTAATATTTTTTTTTATAACATTGTTCATTTTTAAACAATATTTGCTTACCCCCACTCCTCCTCAGGTGTAGTCCCCATAGAGTTTCCTTCACCAATGCACCCGTGCACCATCACCTCAGTCCCCTCTGCTCCTCCCTCCCTCTGATCCCTGTCCCTCCTCCTCCCCTGCAATTTGTCTGATTTATAATTGTTTTGGCTTTGTTGTGTTTTGTGCTGTTATTATTTTTTTACACTGATGTCTTATTTGATTCCCCTATATTCCTGTTATAAGTGAAACCATCTGGTATTTTTCTTTTTCCTTCTGGCTTATTTCACTGAGCATAATTCCTTCTAGCTCCATCCATGTTGCTGCGAATGGCATGAATTTATCTCTTTTGATTGCTGAATAATATTCCATTGTGCATATATATTACATCTTCTTGATCCAGTCATCTATTTTTGGGCATTTGGGTTGTTTCCAGGTTTTACCTATTGTAAATAGTGCTGCAATGAACATAGGGGTACATGTGTTCTTTTGAATCCATGTATTTGTGTCCTTTGGGTAGATCCCTCCGAGTGGAATTGCCAGGTCATATGGTAGCTCCATTTTTAGTAGACTGAGGAACCTCCAAACAGCTTTCCATAGTGGTTGGACCAGTTTGCACTCCCACCAGCAATGCAGGAGAGTTCCTTTTTCACCACATCCTTGTTGCTACTTTTTTTGATATGTGCCATTTTTTTTTTTTTAAGATTTATTTATATAAGAACCAGGGTACAAACGGAGGCATGGGAAGGTGGGAAAATTTACCAGAGACAGAGCTGGGAACAGAACAGGCGGACTGACCAATGACACTGCTGAGGGGAGCAGCGGGCATGGCAGGAGAGGTCGGCTTCGCCAAGTGGGATTCTTGCCAGCCAACCAGGTTGAACCCGTGCTGCAGAGGCTGTAGACAGCTTCATAGTGCGGCACTCAACCTGCTGCACCACCGGCAAGGCCCTGATATGCGCCATTCTTACTGGTGTGAAGTGGCATCTCAGTGTGGTTTTGATTTGCATTTCCCTGATAAGGGATGTTGAACATCTTTTCATATGCCTGTTGGCCATTTGCATTGGAAAGGAACTTTAATAAACAATACATAAAAGCCAAAAGAATATAGTTTCTAGATCAAGCACCCAAAGTTACCCATCCTCTCAGGGGTAAAAGTCCACCCAAATGCGATTGGCCCAGCGCAAGGCCTGAAAGCCTGCCACAAATCTAAAGCACCTTTCAGTCGGGACTCTAAGAGTCAGAAACAGCCAGACAAGTTTGAGAGGAAAAGAGCAAAATCAAAATCAAGATAAAAGCTGCCATTGTCACCTCCCCACGGGTCTCTCACCCACATCTATTTCAACCAGTCCAGGACCAAGAAGCAAGTGCAGCTTCTTCACATGTCTCTCTGCTCCATGTACCTCCTTCAGGTCTCCTCATTGCTCTCCATCCTGCTTCTTTCCTTCCTCAGTCCCCTCTCCAGCTTTTTCTCCTCCCTGCTCCCTCTATCCTCCTTTGGGTGGGGCAGGAAACTTGGAACTTCCCCTTTTCCTGGGAACTACCCTGTTACACCCTGTTACAGGTCAAGCTTACCTGTATTTACCCAGTTTTTCATTTTATAGGTAATGTTACAGGTATTGTTCAAAATGTTGGTGCAATAGTGGGCTTCTGAAAAGATGGGGGAGGGAGGGAGGTTGGGATCAGGAGGAGCACCCCAAGAGGCTATCTGATATGTTTATTCACAGGGAGTTGCATTTCCTTCCTTTTTATTTTTTTTAAGATATATTTATTTATGCGTACAAGAGCTAGGGTACAGTCCAGAGGTGCGGGGCGGGATTGGGGGGGACAGAGGACTCACCAGAGACAGATTGGGGAGCAGAACAGGCAGATAGACTGAAATACACTGCTGAGGGGAGCAGCCAGCAATACAGGAGAAAGGTCTGCTGCGCCATGTGGGTCACCTCCCTGGCCGAGGATCGAATTCATGCTGCAGAGGCTGTGGATAGCTTCACAGTGCTGCCACTTAACCCCTTGCACCACCAGGGAGGCCCTGCATCTCCTTCCTGATCTCCAGGAGGTCTTGGGCTTGGTGACTGTATGGGAAGGAAGGGACAGTGCAGGATCTCTAAGATCTGAGCAGACGAGGTGAAGGAGGATTCCTAGAGCCCTCAGTAGCTTTTGCAGGCTTCTATTGGGATTTACCAGGTACACAGCAGGCAAGGGTTCTGGGGGGCCAGGAGGCTGACAGGCCTCCCAGCCCCCAGCAAGTCTTCATTCTTTTTGGCCTTCTCTCGTGGCCTCTGCTTTTCTTTCACTCTTCTTGCTCTTCTATTCCTCTCTGCTTCTCTCTTTCGCTCTGCTCTTACATTCGTTCTGCTGGCGTCCCTGTGACACCACCCTTATAAGCCCAGTCTCTCAACCCAGGTGAATCCCATCTACCTATGCCCAAACCTGTCACAGGTGCCCGCCATCAGGCATGCATTCAGGACCACAAGGATCCATCATCTATCCTGATGGAAGGGCAGAAGAGCCTGTTATCATTTACTTACCCTACAGTGACCCTCTAGGTTTTGTGGAATTGGCACAGATACTAGGCACTGTTCTTACGCCTACCTGCCATTTCCAGCCAGCCTTGACTTGAGTCTCACATGCCTCTTTTCCTTCACTAAAGGAACCAGTTAATCTTTTGCCCATTTCTAAAATTGGTTTGCCTTTTTTTAAAAAAGGTTTATTTATTTATGCATACAAGAGCTGGGGTACAGGCCAGAAGTGATGGGGGTGAGAGGATTCACCAGAGACAGAGTGGGGAACAGAACAGGCAGATTGACTGAAATACGCTGCTGAGGGGAGCAGCGGGTGAGGCAGGGGAGGTCTGCTGCGCCATGCGGGTTGCTTCCTGGCCATGGATTGAACTGCTGCAGTGGATGCGGATAGCTTCATAGGTTATGTCTTAACCCCCTGCGCCACCAGGGAGGTCCCTGCCTTTTTTTCTTATTGATAGGCAGGAATTCTTTAGATATTCTGGCATTTACTCTTTGTCAGTGAGAAATAGGTGTAAATACCTCTCCTAGTCTACAGCTTACTTTTCACAGTAGGAACCATAGCTGCAGTGGTATTAGCTCAAAGGTGCATCTTGCCAAAGTCCAGGTTTTAGCTCAAAGGTGCAAATGCCCACATTCTCCATGGAGGCACCGGCAACTGTCATTTCAAAGAAAGGGACCTTCATTCTTAGAACATTCTTTCTTTTACCCTGTCTTGACGCAAATTGAATTAGTTGTGAGCCATAAGGAAACCCCTTAGCTGGTTAGCTCCAACTTAAATGGGCTTAGTTTGTTTCTTGACTAGGTCTTCGCCATCACTTGGACATAGGTGTGCCTTATCAAGCCAGAGCAGTGTCTGTGCCATATAGCAACTTCCTTAAGTGTATCAGCATCCTCACTGCAAAACAGCTTTGCTTCTTTGTAAAGGAACAGGATACTCCAGGCTTTTGAAAGAGCAGGTTATACCAGACCCAGGTCAGGAAACATTTCCTTCAGTTTCCTGCCTTTTTCCAAGGGTTGACGTCAATTGAAATTACTGACAACCCAGGGATGATTTTAGCTCAAGACGAATCTACTCCAGGGTATGGTTTAACAACAGTAAGGGATTTCCCTCCCCTGCCCCCAAAACAGCTGTAGAACAATTAGTATTTGAGATGCACTGCTGCTTTGAGTGTAAATTTCACATGGCATAGGGCTTTAGTACCCTGGCACCTCTAAAGTTTTACTTTAATCAGCTGTTTCATTTATATTAAGTCACAAATTTCTCTTCTGCTGCATAAGAAAGCAAAACATCCATTCTGGTTATTGGTAAGACACACCACCTGCTACCTTCATGAAGGGCCAAATGAACACTTTTATTCCTAACTTCTTAAGAGTTGAGGACTACAAGTCTGTCTCCTGAATTTCTATTAGCCATGTTCAACTATGCATTCATGTGTACCTCCAAGTCCTAGCTTTTGCGCTCCAGCCATGTAACAAAGTAGTCAGCCCACTTCTTAATAAATATCCAATCTTGTGAATGTTTTCACTAAATCTAATTCTGCTATTTTTTCCTTACTGTTTCATCTAGTAACACACAGAAGTGTAATAAAATCCTCTTGATTTTTAAGT